TCTCTCTCTCTCTCTCTCTCTCTCTCTCTCTCTCTCTCTCTCTCTCAAAAATGAATAAACATTAAAAATTTAAAAAAAGAAAAATTATGACCTAACACAAAGCCTTGGTTCATATGGATGTAACAAAAATTCCCTTCTTATAATTAATCTTTCAGTTACCTCATTTTTAAAACAGGAATAATAATAATAGTTCTTACATCAAAGTTTTTGTGAAGATTAACTGATATAATACATGAAAGGGCATAGTTTAAAAACCAAAAACACTGAATATTACCTTTTACTCTCTGTAGTCTTGCTACAATAATCCTCATTCTTCAGGCAAGTGGGTGCCTCTCCCTACTAAGAAAAGATCAGGAAGTATAAGAAAAAAGAGCCTAGGAGTAATGTTTCAAGACCTTACTCTATGCCCATCACATTCTTCCGCTAAGATCTGGTCACAGGCTGCCGTATCATGGTTCTCCCTGTGAGCCCCTGAGCAATGGGATCTAGCAAGCCCAGGCTTAGCTCTGTGACATGAGAGTCTCAATTTATTTGCCCTCAAATACTTTTCTTTACAAATGCCCAATGCCCTGTCATGTCCCCATGTTAGTGTCCCCATGTAAAGTTCTAGTAGAGGTTCGTTTCTAGGATAGAAGATGCTGAATCTTGAGAAGTAATGATTAAGGGCTAGGCCTAATTCTCACTGCTTCTACAAAAATAACTGAACAAGTACCTCGATAGGCCAATCGGCAGACATTTATTTAGTGCCTACTGTGTACACTGTGTAATAGGTGACCCAAAGAAAAGTAACACATGTCTCTAGGCGGTGCCAACTCACAAGCCAGCAGGGACGAGAGATACGTGCAAAAATAAGCCAGACGCAAAGTGAGCCTTAGCAAGGGCAATGATTGTGGTTCATACCGGAGTTCAAGAGTACAGAAGAGGGAGAAATCAGTTTTGACAGGGATCCATTAAAGTGTCTTGGGCAAGGTGGGAATCAAGCTGAACTCTAAGGTGGAGTGTGACCACGTTAGGTGACTGTAATGGAGAAGGACATTATAGGCTGTGTAAGTCATTTGAATAAGAGAGTTAGAAAAGTGCTCAGCTTAACTTTGCACGATTATGATTTACCCAGGGTGACTATAGTATGGGAGTGGGGTGGAGGTGCAGAACTTGAGGCTGGAGAGAGAAGTTGGAAGCATATGGTAGGAAAGAAACCAAAGGCCAAGTGAGGAGCTTTGGCTTTACTCTCCGTTCAGTGGGGAAGGATTGAGGACCTTTGGGACCAGGAGCAGATCTGCTTTTCCAAATAAGAGAGCCTGGTGCCACTGTGAAGAATAGATGATACAGAGCAAAAAGAAAATAAGACCTGGTAAGGTAACAGGAACCTAAGCCACAGCAGTGGGAGTGGCCAGCAGGGGATGCAGGGGAGAGGTATGTTGAGAGGCTGCATTTTGAGAATGGTCGATGACATGTAGCAAAAAAAAAAAAAAAAAAAAAAAAAAGCAGAGGCAAGAGGCAAGCTGAGAGGGCTCTCCTTGGCACACCCAGTCCCAGGCGAGGTTGCTGCATAAAGCAGACCATGGGCTCCAAGGACGAAACTGGCCAAGGGCCCAGAGACCAGGTGGTGAGGAATACCTCTTGGCTGTCCCAAGAAGTCTCCTCCTTCCTTGAATGCCCAGAAGGGTAGCAACTGACCATCTGCTTTGCCCGCGTGGAATATCAAAATCACTGATTCCTGGACATGGGTCCTCAGCTTGGCAGCTTCAGAAGTCCTGGGGATCTTTTAAAATCATTTTCAGGCCCTTTCCCATGTGATGTTGATCCGGGAACCTGACATGGGGCCCAGGCATCCACGTTTTGCAATGCTCTCAGGTGATTCTGTTGCACATCTGTTGTGGGAAACCACTGTGGGACCTTACAACTAGTCTGGAAAGTGTATAGCAACCCTGGGCTCAACACATACTTGTGCTAATGAACACTGTGATAGGCTGAAGACTTTCGGTTTTGGCCTCCAGCAGTGACTTTTAGCACAGTGACCTTCATCAAGTGCCGAACACCACCCCCGACCTCTAGTCCTCGGTGAACACATCAGGAGATGGGAGAGGCCGCATGCTTGACAGGGTCCCCCAAACGTCCCAAAAGGGCAGTGTACGTACAAGCCATCATTTCCACCCTTGTCCTCAATTCAAAAAGGAGAGCTGGGCTGTGTCGCAGGGATACCGTAAGAGAATCTTATTACAGGATGTTTTGAGACTCTACAGAACAGGCTACATAATAATACTGTCCATTTTCTGCCAGGCTTATCCAACGTTCATAGCACTTTTATTGCTATTATTGTTTTTATTTTTCAGGAAAATAATAAAGTACAAAGGTAAGGCAGGTGTTAAACTTGTCCCTCTACACACTGGGCTCTGTGTGATTTGGTGACTCGTGCAAGGTCAGACAAACCAGAGCCAGGCCCGAACACCCCATCCTTCTGAGCCCCGGTTCTGCTTCTGGGCCATGATGGAGAAGGGCAACATAAAGGCATTTTTCTCTCCTTGTAAAAGAGAAAAAAATGGGGGGAGGGGGAATTATTTAAACACACCTCACTCATACTGCAATCACTGCATTGTTTTTCCTGTTGAAACACCCTGTTGGTTTTTAAATCCCTTTAAACCTACCCGGCACCTGTATGGCCCAGATCCAAGAATTATTACCGAACCCTTCACTTTTTATATTTAGCCACATAGGGGCTTCTGTGATGGTATCTGGCTCTTGGTTCGGTTGAAAATTTCAGAGCTTCCAAGAGTTTTCTTCTTCCAGAGAAGCTAGAAGCATGCAATGCTCAGACATGATTTTTTAAGTAAGTGGGGTATGTCTCTCCACTTATGTTCTCCTGGGTAAAACAGCATCATGGCACTACCCTGTACTGTTCCTGTGTGAAGATACTCCCGAAATACTGACCAAATGAGAGGGCAGGAGAAAGATTGGGGGGGGGGGGTCTTCATGAGCTCTGCATGGTTTGTGGGATGACCTCTCTTCAGGGCAAGAACTGAGGCTGAAAACATAATGAGAACTTCCCAGCAAATTCATTATAACAAAGCATAATGTGAGCTCACTGGGCACAAAAATAGGCTGAAGGAAAGTGACTCCCACATAAGACCTAATTAAATACTTTGATGTCAGAAAGCAGAGCAGGAGGGTAGAAAATCAAATCCGACCAAAGTAGAGGACCTAAATTCAAATAGGAGAAATTTCTCTCTCTCCATCTCCCTCTCCTCTCTCTCTCTCTCTCTCTCTGTCTCTTCGCTCTCCCCACCACCTTCTCTGTGCCTCTCTCTCTCCTTCTCTTCCTTTGCCACGAAGGAAGAATAACTCAGGAACAATAGGTTGTAAATTCTTCAGCCAATTAGTCCAGTGACTTACTACTGTTTATAATGCACAGAATGTCACAGGCTGTTTTGCAGCCTCCCCAAGTTGGTTTGTTAATAACAGGAAGCTAGCACTTCTCAGTACAGTGGATCAGCTACACGTGAAAATAAATGCAAAAAACCTGGAGGGGAATAGCAGCAGACCAAGAGTAGCCTTGATTTAATTTAACATTTGGGGGTCCACACACAAATGAGCATTTTAGTAGGCTTCATGGTGGAAGTTGCTGTCATTTGTAAAATATTCTGGCCAATTAGCTAATAGTGTGCTTGGATTTCTCCTGTTTTGATACAGTAATACTAAGTACATTGTGAAGCCCAATTATACAAATCATCCCCATATGCCATACCAGTCTTTCTTTATGAACTGTGTTTATAAATCCTGTGTGAGGAAATGTGTACTTCAGCAATTTAGACCATGTGTAAAAACATAGCCAATGGGATTGTCAAGAAAACAAGTTCCAGCCTAGGAAATCCTAATGTGTTCCGCTGGAATAACAGGAGGGTGCCGGGGAGTGCAATGCTCTGCTTAAATACATATTGCTTTATAGTGTTGAGCCAATTTAGGGGCTTCCGCTTCCCTTTCTGTTATTTTATTCTTCTTTTCTTTTAGGATCCAACCTTGGAGTTTTTGAGAAAATTTGGGATTGGTCTTCTCTCGGGCACAATAGCCTCAGTCATTAACATCCCTTTTGATGTTGCCAAAAGTAGGATTCAAGGGCCTCAGCCAGTTCCTGGAGAGATCAAGTACAGAACCTGTTTTAAAACAATGGCAACAGTCTACCAGGAAGAAGGGTAACATTCTTATTTTAATAAATGTGCAGGGTTCACGTATTATTAAAGCTATATTGTGCTTCCATTTTGATGAGAGCCATTAAACCCTCCGAAATTGGGTGTGTGTTGGAAAAGCTCTAATGAATGACAAACTTTGTGAGATAACACAGTAAGGAAATGTTGGCAACGAGTTCTGACACCATCAAGAACCTCGGGCCACCATCCTACAATCCGCTGTATGTTTGAGAATGCGAAGATGAACCTTTTGCTTGTCAGTTTGCACAATATGCTCTAATACACCCTGCTAACGTGTGGGCAGGAGAGTGATTGTCTTCTAACTGTAAATCTAATCAAAATGTCACCTCATTATATTCTCCTGGGGGAATTAAACACGAGAGTTCTGTGCAAGGGGTTTTCTTTCAAAAATGTGAAGTACAGGTTTTTTTCTGCTAGTGTTTTTGAGTCTTACATTTGTCTTCATACCTCTTCACCCAGATCTTATTCTCAAGTAAGCAAGTAATATTTTATTTCGATCGAAGCTATATCATATTTCCTTTTGTGCAGACTTTGTGGTCTTTTAAATTTGATTACAAAAGTCATTTTGTCCATGTACACAGCTGTCTTGAAAGTAAGACCTGTGTTCAGAGCAAAAGCCATCTCACTGATGAAAGTCATATTTCTGGTGGAGATGATCAGCAGAGCTTGGGCATCAAAGAATTGATTAACTCTTTCCCTTTGTCCAATTTGCTGCAGAAGACGCATAGCCAGATATTTTTTGGTTTGCGATATGTGTAATTTCAAATAAATGTTCTTGTAGATGCTGCGTCAGCAGCTCCATAAAGCTGAGGTACAACCCCATTTTCTTTTCAGAGTTATGAATGTTGCTCTTCCCCTTCCTGTTGTAGGATTTTAGCTTTGTACAAAGGCCTGCTTCCCAAGATTATGAGGCTTGGACCAGGTAATGATGTTTTTATTACTTATATCCTCCCTTCTTTATTGTTCTGGTGTCGCTTTTTTTTTTATTTGTGTCTATCGGCAACACATTAAGTTTATCACACTGTGAAAGATGGAAATCTTGAGGATATAAAGTTGTCTAGGAGTATTCAAGATATTAAAGGTATCCATTAGAAATATTTTCTTAAAAAAAAAAAATGTTTTCCACCTCTGTTTATAAGGTACTATTTAAGGCCTTGCTAGAGACTGATAGAAGCCAAAAAGCCCAGCTTAAGTCAATAGAAAAGGATCCACAGCCAGTTGAAGTTTGAGCACAGAGATGTACATACAGTGGCTTCTGGCTACAGGAAAGGATTCTCAGTGAGTGAGGGAGCAGCCCAATAAAACTTTCCTGGTGCCCCAGGTTCATTCTTGTTCCTGCCTCAGCTTCATTTCAAAAACAGAAAAGAGGGATAACTTGCCTCCACAAATGGCAAGAACCACTGGGCTTCGCAATCACCTGTGAGTTGTGAATACCGTCCAGGGAGCTGTGGCGCTGCGGCCTAGCACTCACCTTCTGGGCCTCTGTCAGCGTGATGGTGGAGACTCCTGGCTCAGGGCCTCACCTCAGGATGCCAGCCCACAAAATACAGCCGGCTGCCATTCCCACAGGGAGAGTCAGCTGCCTCTATGTAAATAGATGAGAAAATAACTGCTGCAGACCCAACTGCCTGGGCAAATAGTCTTGGGTTATAAGCAACCTTCTGTGTAAGGACAGAGGTATGCACCAGCCCACATATTTTTTTAACCAAGCCACACTCACCTGCTTAGGCATCCTAGTATTCTTTCCCAGAAGCTTCACCTGCTCCTCTCCTCTCTCCCTTTCCCATTCCTCCCTTTTAACACCAATGTCACACACAGGCATGTTGACCATCAAATCTCAGCCCAGTGAACCAGCATTTCTACCAATGTGAGGATAGAGCACAATGGTCTGTAAACTGAAGGCAATGAACAGCTCACACTTTCACATATTTAAAAAAAATTTTCTTTTAATGCTTATTTCTTTTTAAGGGAGAGACAGAGTGTGAGCTGGGGAAGGGGCAGAGAGAGAGGGAGACACAGAATCCAAAGCAGGCTCCAGGCTCCGAGCTGTCAGCACAGAGTCCAACACAGGGCTCGAACTCACCAACCGCGAGATCATGACCTGAGCCGCAGTCGGACGCTTAACCGACTGAGCCAGCCAGGCACCCCCACACTGACACGTATTTAGAAAACACTTCCACAATTCCCAATCCATCGATCCCAACCTGTCTAGTCATATAAGCATGGATTTTGCTCCACATTGGAGATTCAGACTTGCCTCCTGTCAGTCATTGGCCCGTGTGTAAAAACAAAGCCAATTGTAAAGAATCTTGGTGATTCTGTGCAACTCTGTCTGCACATATGTGGTGTTTTCCCTTCACCGCACAGTAAAAACCTGCTGGTAGACCTAGTATTAGAGAAAATCACAGGAATGACCCTAACCCAGCTTTCTCAGGAGGCGATGGGCCTAAAAGGAGTGGTGATCAGGGAGAGTTTAACCTAAAACAGTAATTGACTGGAACCTTAATCCCAAACTCTTAAATAATCTGACCCCAAGGTTTGTTAGAGGCTTGCAAATGTTTGGTTGGCTTTTCAAATGTTTTTGCATGAGGTGTGCTGAGTTGATATAGTGTTAAATAGGATGAAATGGGTTGCTGTGAATGCACTATCCAGGCTAAACACAACTGTGAATGACTGGAAATCTCGTTCAAGGACCAGGTCCCCACTCACATCTAAGTCCTCCGAACATGCAAGCCCTAGCAACTTGAAAGGTAGAAAGGTGTGACATTTGACTTAAGGACAAGATTTTTTCAGAAAGAGTGAAAAATGAAAGAAAGGTAAATCTGCAACTTTTATCCTTCGTAGTAGGGAAGCATCTCACCTTTTTTATAACAGCCTCAGCAGGTCTGTGTGGCTAACAACCAGTTACCTCCCATGAAAGGAGAATCGTGAAGTCTGTGGGTCAAACTCCAGACATCACTAGGCTGAAAACTAACCCAATTCTGCATGTTCTTGTCTTACACTGAGAACAGTTAAGAAGAGTAAACACAGCAATTACATAGGTATTAACAGCCCTGTGTTAGTGGGTCGTCTTTGTTTGCCAGAGTACCAAGAGGGCTACAGCAGCTGAGAGGGGTCTAATAGAGTATCTTCATGGGTTAAAAATGAAAATTACAGGCAGGTAATTATCTTTGGTATAAGGTTACACAAACATGTGTGGCCTGTAGATTAAAAAAACACACTCACACACAGATGGCAGTGTGTACAAAATAACTAAGATCAAAATCAAGTTCTGGTTGTTTTCGTCAGAAGTCCATCTTCTATTCGTGCAGCCAAGTCTTCTTAAAGTTGTGCTCAGGGTATCTGTCCACATTTTTCACACAGACATGAGAGGATAAATAGATTATATTCAAGAGCATGGGAGACGTGCCATTTACGGCATCAGAACACAAAATCATCCACATGCAAATGCCTCTCCTGACTTCTTGGTATTCTGCAACCTGGGTGCTTAGTTTTCTGTATCATATTCTTGTTGACATATTACATAGCAAGCCTCTTTGAAGCCAGTTATAGAACTCTTCTCTTTCAAGATGAATGGTGGTCTTATGGCACCCAAACCCCACTACCAAATTTTCAAGTGTGATACATTTATATGAGGCGGAGAAGAGGAAGAAAAACAAGAGGAGGAAGAGAGCTAGCTATATTTTGTAATGCACATATTTTTAAATATTCAGAAGCTATTTTTCACATTGCAATCCAGTCTGAAGGCTATAAGCGAAAGCTGGACTCATCTGTCAAGTACCCTCTTAGAGAGTTCCTTCTTGAATGCAACTAGGACAATGTTAATTATGGACTGAAAAAGATAAATCCTTTGCCTACATATGAAAAATATGAAGGTTTGTTTGCAGGAAAGCCACATGCCCTTACATGACTAAATGTGTCTATATTTATTTACTTTTAAAAATTAAGAGTGCCTGAAAAAGAATCTGATGAGAAATGCTGAAAGTCACAGAAGCTCATGGGGAAAAAATGTATTTGGAGACTCAAGATGGTCTTGATTTTGCTGTGAGAATTTTCCACAATAGTTTTACATCAGCATATTAGAGCCCAAAGATTGGTGAGTCTAAGCAGCCCCTGCTTGATAGGCTAATGGGACTTCACAGATCCAGAAACCCAGTGGGAAAAATGATGCTACTTTGCAGGATTTGAGATAAAAACCAGCTCTTTTCTTTTCTAGGTGGTGCAGTGATGCTGCTGGTTTATGAATACACCTATTCATGGCTTCAAGAGAACTGGTGATTACCTATGAAGTGTTGAAATAATGGATATTTGCTATACAGCACTGAGCTGATAATTGTAGAATTATAATTTACAATCTTATGTACAATTAAGGGGAAACAGTTTATTCATGAACTCTAGATTCATGAAAATCTATTTCGATACTCCAAAAATTATCTCTAGACAATTTGAGACAGTAGTTTTGGCCACATCCATAAATCTGTAAGAAAGATAATATGAAGTAATGAGGTGTGTTAATCGAGCATAGAAATCAGATATAGTTCATAAAAGCAATATAAATTTCATGACCTGTATTCCTCTCACACTGATTCACAATGAAAATTCATTGTATTCATAATTACTTTTTTCCCCAAGAGATCAAGAAATGCTTAAAGTCATAAAAAAATAAGCCAAAATTTGAACAGTTCTTTTAAGGAATTCTTCCATAAATAATAACTAAAAGGCACAAGGAAAAGATTTTTAAAGTACACTAAAATGGCATTTTAAAAATATTGAATTTTATGTTAAAATTTAAATCCATTGGTTTTCTTTAGAGTAATAATCTACTTTCCCAAAGCTACTGGCGCTGTTTTTTTAAATCATGCTATGTGAAGTCTTTTAGGACAAATAGAAAACATGAAATTATGTTGAACTACTTTCCTTCACATAATTCCCTTTGAAAACAATTTTTGTTGCTGAAATAGTTTCATGTTAAATAACAATTTGGAACCACTCCTTGGGCCCATGTGTGCCGTGTTTGCATCCAAATATCTTTTTTCAGAACTCTTACCTATGCCATTCTTAAAAAGACTGTTTAAAGTACATTTCCAAATTATTAAAGTGACAGCTTCTGGTATGAAGTCATCTATCTGCAGTGTTAAAATGTGTATTATGAAGGGAAAAATGTTTCAAAATAGAAGTACGTTCTTGGCATTTCCAAAGATTCCTGTACTAACATGCACTCCAAAAAGTATCTCCTTGGCACCGACAGAACCAAACGGGATTTTTTATTTGCCTGCTGAAATGCTACCTCAGTAGCTGACGTCAACAAAAATATCTGCACGTTCTAGACGATGCCTATTCTTAACTACTACTAAAGATTATTTCTACCATGAGGCTAGGTCACTGAAGCATTTTGAAAATAAAAAATAAAAGATAACATGGTAATTATTACTTTTTATTAATTTAGAGCATTTGAAGTATAAAAATAAAGGCTTTTTGACATACTGTATATACATACACAGCCTTCGGTTGTACATCCTTTCCAACGTGTTTTTTAATTTATATTTCAGCCCAATATTCAATAAGAGGGTCATTAAAAGTAGAAAGAAAAAAA